CAAGCAAGCTGAAAGCCTCATCAGTTCTTCCAGCTGCAGGACTCTCGCCTTCCCGAGTACTTCACCCTCCCCCTCAAGGGCTGCTGCCGGGGGCAAAATGGAGCCCCCACCTTGTACGACCAACGCCGGGGAGAGCCGTGGGGCTCCTAGAAAGTCTTCTCTTCGCACTGCAGCACCCAACCACGCGGGACTGGGCAGTGCTACTTGAAAAGAAATAAATAATTCTGACAGTGATAAAGGGGGGGGGAGGCGGGAATCATTGTCTGAAATCGTATGCTGCATCGATGTTGTATTTTTCCCAGAGCAGTGTATTGTGCTAGAAGAAATCTGAGGGGGTGTTAATAATTTAATTGTTCTCTCCTGTTTCAAACGTTATGACTCTGACCACTTCCAATCCGAAACTTTTCTACACGATGCCTCAGGGAGCTTGCAGTATCGTTTTAGCATTGTATCAGAACAAGATGCTTCCCATATTGGAAGAGCAGTCTGTCCTCAGCAGCAGATTTATACAACGTATATGTACATGTAATAAACAGACTAAAATCAAGGAAATATTGTTTATCCTTAAGGGACTATCCCACTCTGTAGCCTGCTGAGATGGCTTTCAGTGTGTTCTGGGCTGAGAACCAAACTTCAGCCCTTTGTAATATGTCTTGCCTTGAGCTGAAGATACCTTCGTACCTTTGCCCCTTCTCCCATGAGGTTACTCAGATCATCACCCTTCACATCCTGGCCTTTACAAAACCAAGCTGCTTCAAAGTATATAGCTAAATTATTTGCCTTCTAAAATGAGTTTATTTAACTCTGCTACATTTTTTTCCTATTAGCTCTCATCTCTTCTGTCCTTACCCTTCAAGTCACCTAAGTATTATAGGCACAAAACCAATTAAAATTATTAAGGTTGCACAATGAAGGAGCCAGAAGTTAGGAAATACCAGAAGATGGGTTATGTGACTTCGGTCCCCTTGCTCATACATTTCATGACTGTCTTAAATTACATAATCCAGTATTATTTTGTTCTGGCCTTGCTTGATTGTGCAAGGCCTCGCCTTTACTTAGGATACAGGATGGATTTACTCTTGGGATGTGCCACATTTTTGCAGAACAAGATGCCAGGACTATTGACTGCAGAGGAGCATAGGAAATCTTGAGGAAATGGATGCTGTTCCTGCCTCTGTTCCAGACAGGATGCGTGTGCTACAGCTGCATCTTTTGTGCATGAGTTCATGGGCATGAGCTAATTTCACAGTACCTAACCTGGGTATTGGTAACATGGATCTTGAGGCAGGCAAAGAACAGGAACATGCTGTTAGCAGGACTGAGCCACTGGTTCAGAAAGGCCAACTCGAGTTACCGACGCACCTCCGAAGCTATTTAAGACATGCAACGTTCCTAGGGTCATACCATAGGATGACTTAGAAGAAATAATTTGATTTTACAGCTGGTTGGAAGTTACAGGCTTGTCAATTTTCTGGGGGTCTTACACAAGGCATCTGACTCTAGGAAGAGCTAAGCATTCTTCTCTGCAGGCAAAGTCCCTGGAAGATGTAGTGCTGTGAACAGTGAACCTGTTGCTCTGTTTTACTCCCTTGTATTAAAGGCAGCGTGTGTAAGAAATACAGAGAGTTGCATCTAAGATACCCGAATACGTCTCTATCTGGAATATACTGCAAAATCCCAAATTCTAACTGCATTATTCAAGTAATTTAATGATCTAATGTGTAATAATGTAATTTCACACTTCAGTTTCTTCTGCCAACTGTAACTGTCCAAGACCAGCAACAGAATGAAAGCTGGTGTTTGTTGCCATCTAAATATGTCAAACTCAATTCAAGGATTCAAATGGCAATTTGAACAACTAATATAGTACAAAAATTTTTGTTTCTAGCTGTTTTCAAAATGATCTGCACAGGCAAGAAGTTAATAACTAATCTGCAACACCGATGAAAGTATAGGGAGTTACTCTTCTGAGATATAGTCTATTGCACACAAATGGTATCAGCAATGATTTGACAACAATGAGTAGCCTTCAAAATGCTTCAGAAAAGGATGACTAGCAGGAAGTCAAATGAATGCTCCCACAAGCAAAAACAATGCATGTGACCAAAAAGTCAACAGATATATTTTTTTTCCTATTTCAGTTCAAAATCAACTCTCCTGAGACACAAACCTCTCCCCAAACCAAACATAAAAGCCACAGAAACCTTTAAATGCAAAGCAATAACTAAAATAAATCCAAATTAAATGGAGTCTTATTTAAGCTCCAGGAGAAAATATATAGCTCCTCAGTCACTACTAAACCAAGAAAATATTACATCCAGACTCTACTTCAGTTTGCAAAACCAGCGAAAAACAAGAAAAAAAAGTACAGGAAATAGAAGGAAAAAAACCTGTTGAACGTGGGAAAAGCAAAACTGGAGAACATGGAATAAACAGGATGGAAAGTTGCAGCATCATGACAGTGATTTCCTTCCCAGCAATCCAGTGAGCAAGATCAGTAATCAGGCTCTGTGCAGTCTATCATACACCTCTGGGCCTAGAATTAAAATGCAACAGAGCTGCCCCCCTTTTATTAATTGCTTTAGGAGATGAATGCATTTATAGAAATACAGACTGTCACAACATTCCTTCTCCACTCATTTTCGAGCTTTACTACCTCCCATCATAGATCCTGCTCTTATGTTGTACCGTGAGAACAGTCTCAAGTCCCATCCATGCCCAAATCTCTGCTACCAAGCTCTAAAACCTGTCTCAGCACAACTGTTTCATAGAGTTTCTCTCTGTCCCCTTGCCCCATTTGCTAGGGGACTGCTCTCCACTGCACTGACCACTCAAGCTCTAGTAAGCACCAGTCCTCACGTAGCTCCTTTAGTCACCAATTTGTGGTTGGATGATATTTCTTCCAGAGACTTTTTGCCAGGAGACAACTTGCCAAAGCCTGTCCCAGGAGCTTAAAAAAAAAAATAATAATCTGGTCAGTTGCTACAGGATGTCTCATCAAAACCCACAGCATTTGTCAGAGAGTTCACAGCATGCAACCCCCACCTAGTTTGAGGTCACTTTTTCAAGACCTGGTCAACCAAAGAGCTACATGAAGCTGTGATTCCTCTCATGGTCCCTAGGGACTGCTTTTTGGGGGAAGTGCAGAGTGCATTTTCCTGCCCCGGGCTGCACAGCACTCCTGTACTCTGTCTGGGAGAGATGACACAAGCAAACAAAACATATGACAGCAAGAAACATCATGGAGGTAAACCCAGGTAGGCTGACACAGCCTCCTTGTCACCCAGTCCAATAGAGTCTGAAGTCGTGAGCACATTAGGAAGCTATTTGCCAACCAAAATGAAGCCCTCAGGGTGTGTATCTATACATAAGAGCATCTGCAAACCCATAAAGACATTATCCAATAGGTATTAAACGTCCTTGTGCTTCACTAGACGAGTGCAGAGGAGGAAATAGGTCAAAACACACCCACATGAAGAGCACTGCAAGCAAAACAGCAGGAAGGAGAAGGGGAAAGGGTTTGCAAAATTATGAAAAATGTATCCGGAGGAGCTAGTGGTTTTCACTAGGTCAAGAGCAACACCAAACTACAGATTCCTCCCCTCCACTCATGACCTTGTTTCCATTAAACTACACTGTCACGTGGCACTCAAGATTTAAGTTTCCCACTTGTCCCCCTCTACCCTTCCAGCTGACACCAGTATACTGGCGTGACTCCACCTCTACATGTAACCCAAACTGGAGCTTCACAGCAGTGAAATCAGCCTCCCCTCCGGGAAAAGGAACAAGAGCTGATGCTTCCTCCCCTGGCAGGAGACAAACTTCTGAGGATCCAGTTCTCCCACCCATCTGACAGGGATGTGCAGCCCCCTCCCTGTAGCTCATGGGCACACACTGGACTGCTGCTCAGAGGAAGCTGGCCGTGGCATCAGGCACAAGGGAGGACTGGGAGGAGAGAGGTGAGGCGGAGCACAGGAGGGAGGAACAAGCTGGGGGTTGGCAGGGTGGTGGGAGACCTTCCTCTGCAGTCACAGCTCTGGTGCCAAATGCTCTAAGCTCAGGGAGAACAAGTCGTCCTTGAACCTGTGGCTTTGGGTCCCTACCCACTCCACCTCCTGTGCTCATATGACTGACATAAGCTGCTTTTGGAAGATGAAATACTTGTCCTTTTATGATAGTTCTGTCATTCCTACAGTACCATGCCAGGACTCACTGCTCCTTGTCTCCTTTCCAACAAGAGGCCAGCATGTGAGATGCCTTTGCCATTTTAAGCACAGCTTAATGCCCAGCTTCTTTCTCTGTGCATTTTATGAAAAAGAGCTCACTGTTTTTTGCACTGCCTCCCCACTGCACAGCCTATCGTTCTGGCCTCTAGACTCCCAAATTTGTGTCCTGCTGGCTTTACCTGCACAGCTGAGTCATTATTACAAGCTCTAAGGCAGCTACTGCAGCTCTCAGATATATAACCTTTACACTTCAAACTTTCAGCCTGCTTCTTTGGCCAGTGACAACTGTTCTAGATTCCTTTACTGGTTTGCAGCAGCCAGAGATCTGGGAACAGGTGCAGTTTTTCTTCCAATCTTCAGATTGGGTCTGTGCTTGAAAATATGATGTAGCAAGACAGGACACAAAACAGGGCTATAAAAGGGATACAAATAGCTATGATTAGATTCCAAGAAGGAGGGTGGAATGCTAGGTGAGCCACTGTAAGTCAGGAATGGTATGACAGAAGCTGCTAGAAGCAGGTTAATTTCAGTGAGACAGACACAGGCTGAGAGGAAGAGAACTTTGCATGTTTCTTACATTTAAGAGTTCAAGCTGCACTCAAAATGTTGGATGTAGGTACAACAGCTGGGAAAATTTTAAACTCATTTCTTCCCATGACCGACTTACCCACATACAACTTCTGCCAGGTAATGACCATTGCTACAGGCC